ATTTTTGGAAAATGGGCGTAGCCACGCCCACTTATGGTTACATGTGTATATCTTGGTAACCGCTGCACCAATTTCTTCCAACCTTGGCACAGTTGTTGGCCTTAGTACAGCATACTAAATGGCCGAAAATTTAAAAAATCGGACAATAACCACGCCCACATCCCATATAACGGTAATTTAGAGAAATACAGAATTTTCGATAAATCAGTAAATATTAAAGCTAATTTATTCAAAATTGATGCTTGCAACAATTCTTTACCAAGAAATACGTTTATGGTAAAATTTTTGAAAATTGGCGTGGCACCGCCCAATTATGATCACATATATGTATATCGGTAACCGTTCTACCAATTTGTACCAAACTCGGTATGGTTATTGTGCTTGCCAAATAAAAGCAAAACGTTGAAAATTATTGAAATCGGACTAAAATTACGGCCGCTTTTCATATAACGGTAAATTTCAGAAATGCTTGAAACTGGAATACTTCCAAATTTAAGGACGCTAATTTACTCAAAATTGATACACCCCGGCTTACCATCTAGCGGTAGCTTTCGGAAAGGTGAAAAAACATATATTTAATACTTGCGCCGGGTATTTAATGTTCAGCTCCGCCCGAACTTACACTTTCTTACTTGTTTAAATTGTAAAAAACCATGTGGTTGAGGAACGTATACATCACTAATAATAATGTAAATACCAGGTACTTTTGAAAGTAATGGTTAATAAAAAAACCTTTAACAAAAATAGACAGAAACAATTTCTACTCTATAAAGAAATGGCGAACGGCGAATTTTTTGCCATTTTTCGCAATTTTCTCGAAATTTTGAGGGTGTACGAGTCAAGCGGATCTCAGAATTGGGTTCAGCGGGTCGAAATATATGTTGGTAGGTGGGTCTGGTTAAAAAAAACACACACCTTTTTGTGCCGGTATTGTTATTATTGCACTTAAACTGCTTTCGTAAGATCAGTAAAGCATTCAAAGCGGAGTCTTCTAATCTTGACCTGAAGTTTTTACATACAAAACCTACTGATGAAAAACATATTTCGGCCTCAACACTTTTAGGCTCAACTGTCAAAAGTTAGTCATAAGCCATGTGAAGATAATGACCCCTACCTTCTCCATTACAAAATATTTGAACTTCTTCTACCACCACGTCGTACAAATTATAAGTTTTTTGATTTAAGGAAGTTTTGAGTGTATTGATGTAAAAAATTATCTTACTTTTCCTTAAAACTCTCTGTTTCATTAGCGACGCTATGAGTAAATTAATTTAAATCTTCTTCAAAAAAGGTCATGCATGTTTGTTAAGGTCAAATCTTGCTATCAATTTTTGACCAATTTCCCAATGACCTAGAGACTTGAAACTTCGTAGTACCCGATGACAATGCAATACAAAAGATGAGTTAATCCGAAAGGTGGCGAAGGAGTCGAGATATTTGAAAAACTCGTATTTATAATCTGATTTGGTTCACATTTAGAACGTATATTAACTACATGAAAAGTAATAACTCCACTAAAAATTTTGCTGATAGGTGGCGCACGATTCGATATATTACAATTAACATATTTTGTCTTTATTTTTACACAAAGCCTTTTGAGAAAATGCATCTGAAAAAGACCGCATCTACTTACATCCCAAGGTTTACCCAGCTGGCAAATGCAAATAAGGATTAAAATTTTAAATCTAATTAATAAAATTATTGTAAAATCTGTGGAAAATTAACAATAAAATACTTTCTTCGCAAAATCTATAAAGGACCCTTCTATTAAAAAAAAAAAAAACTGCGTTTAATAATAAGGAATTAAACAGCTTTTATGGGTCTATTCTGCGCTGGTAACAAAAATTTTGTTACCGGTAAATAAATTTCCTGGTAATTTTGAAACCCTTTTTGCATGCTCACTGGTAAATTTTATTACCATCTGATAAGCAGGTAACAAAATATTGCCCCGTGAAGTATGCAGCACCAGAATTTATACAAAACTTCATAGCTGAATTGCTGAATAGATTAAATTGTTACCAATGTACTTAGAATTGTGGTGTTATTTTTTGGTAACAAAATGTTCGGTAACAAGCAGAATAGGCCTGTGTTTAGCGTGCTGTTAACCGACTTCAGAAAAGGAGGAAATTATCAATTCGTCGGAGATTTTTTTATGTATGTGACCGGATAACTTTGGACCGCGTGAACCGTTTTCGATAACACTGTGCGATAGCCGAAACCAGCCCTGACTTTGTTAACATTTTCTGAAAGTATAACCATCCAGTAGTAAAACACTCGATGGATTTGCAAAAGCTAGCTCTTATTTTTATTTTATGGACTGCTAAAGTTTTCATGTCTCGGCCTAAGTAGTTTTCAAAAAAGTTATAAAAATGGTTAAAATAAATATCTGAGCGAAATTAAAGGTTAAGAAATAGTAAAATTTCATGGGAAATATTTGCGTAGAACATTTTAACCCATAGCGCCCGCCTGAAAGGGTCATTTTGGCCCTTACTTCAAGAAACCCCGCAAAAAGCAAATTCGGAAGTTCGTTAGGGGATTAATATATTCTAGAAAATTATTCTTCGGCAAATTTTACTACACACAAAAAAAATGTTGGTATCATAACAGCACTCTTGGGTGTTGCTGTATATATAAACTAAAATAAGTGTAAGCTTAACACCAAAAAGAGTCGAACTAAATAACACTAAGAAGTGCAAGTTTGACACTAGTGTGGAGTATTTGTGAACAACACTCCAAAGTGTTAATTTAACTCCAAAAAGTGACAATGCTAATTACACTAAAAGGTGTAATTTTAAAACTTAAATTTCTAAAACTTTAAAGTGTAATTGTAACTCCGATAATACTACTCCGATAAGTACTAATAAATATTACACTAAAAGCGTAATATTAACTCCTGAAAATTCCCCAAAATTTCCCCCAAAAAAAGGTTAGAATGAAAACGAACTCGTTTTGGATGAAGTTTTTTATTCAGTACAAGTAATAATAATTATTTACAAATGTATGTTTAATAAGGCCAAACATAAATACACTATTTACATAAATATTACATCCGTTATTATTATATATATATTAGAATTAATATGATAGCAATCGTAAGGCTTGGTAAATTTCAGGTTGTCAAAACGAATTACCTCCGTTTCGTTTGAAGGAGACAGCTCGTAAACTTTAAGAATATCATCAAAAGTTTTAGTATTATATATTTAAAATAAAATAGCATAACATTTTTAATAATATATGTGGTTTTTATTTGCCAATTGAGCAATACGAATTAGTTAGTGCACTTGGGCAGCCCGGGTTTGATGTAGTAGGAGATTCTACAATTGAGCAATACGAATTAGTTAGTGCACTTGAGCAGCCCGGGTTTGTATTTAAATCGATATTATTTTGTGAGCTTTGGTTTTCCTCGCAAACAGTTTCAGTACTTTCTCTACCACATTGTGAAGAAAGCCGGTGTAATGAGTTAAACGTACAAAACGTCTTTTTACAGTTTTCAGAAGATACACAAGCCTACTGTAAACCATGTTTTTCAGAAAGAAAATGTTCATATTTTAAAAGAAAAATTACAAAAGATATTTCTTCAAATAGTTTTTTACATAAATCCACAATAAGTTTTTCATTAAAAACGGTTATAAGGCCATAATATAACAAAAAGAAATAAAAAAACAAAAATATTTCATTTTTTAAATTACTGATTGTTCAGCATCAATTTTGTTTTTAAATTTCATATAGATCTCAAGAACTCGATTAGAACATTTATTATTCGGTTCAACTTTGTAAATAAACTTCGAAAAAAATTTCAAAAAGTTTGACAATGCAGGATCAAATTCAATATGAAATACATAAAATTACTTAAAATATAAATCAAATACTTCAACGAATGTATATTCTATAGGTACCTGTAAGGCTTTCTTCTTCTTCTTATTTGGCGCTGTAACCGCCTAAGCGATTTTGGCCGAGTCCAAAACAGCACACCAGTCATTTCTCTTCTGTGCTAACTGACGCCAATTGAAAATGCCAAGTGAAGCCAAGTCCTTCTCCACCTGGTCTTTCCAACGCAGAGGAGGCCTTCCTCTTCCTCTGTTACCAGCATCGCGGCCCGCGTTGAATATTTTCAGAGCAGGAGCGTTTCTGTCCATCCGAACGACATGGCCAAGCCAGCGGAGCCGCTGAATTTTAATTCGCTGCACTATGTCTATATCGTAAGGCTTTACCATCAATTAAAATAAAATACTAAACAATTTCCCCCTTTTTTTCCAGATGCTACTATCGTAGGCTGCTTGCTGTTTAATTCGAAATCGTATATGGGTGTATTTATCTGAAATTAGGAAATACGTTCAATTATTGGTTTTTAATAAATACTTATTTAATTAAATTTGATCTTATTTTATTATTTAATTAAGTTTAATTGTATTTTGTTTTAACATTTTAATTTACCTACTACATACTTATATTTTATTTATTTTTATTTCATTTATTTTAGTATTTTATTATATTATTTAATTTTATTTTATTTATAGGTATATTTCATTTTACTTACTAAATACTTATATTTTATTTATTTTATTTTATTTGTTTTTATTTCATTTATTCTACTATTTAATTGAATTTTATTTTATTTTCTTTGTAGGTATATTTCATTTTACTTCATTTTACTTACTACATACTTATATTTTATTTATTTAAGTATTTTATTTTATTGTTTAACTTTATTTAATTTAATTTTATTTATAGGTATATTTCATTTACGTCATTTTACTTACTACATACTTATATTTTATTTATTTTAATTTCATTTATTTTAGTATGTCATTTTACTATTGAATTGAATTTTATTTAATTTAATTTTATTTTGTTTGTATGTTTCATTTTACATTATTTTATTTACTACATACTTATATTTTATTTTATTTTATTTCGTTTATTTTCTTTTATTCCTTTTATTTTACTTTATTTTATTTTTTTTTTATTTGATTTTATTTCAAATTTGGATACCTCTTCACTTACATTCTGAAAATTTACAGTTCATTCATTCATTCATTGACAGTTGATTCGAAATTTACTCTTAGTTGTTTATTCTCCTTCGAGCGAAGTGTAAATGAAGGTGTAGCCTCAGCAGATGTAAAAACGGTTCGATTTCTATAAACCACTCTGAAAATAAAATTTCAATTAGAATTTAAACCCGCATCTCTTAAGTCAAGATGCTTACCTGGTATTAAACAGCTGCCAACAGTGTCTTTTAAAACGTCCTCTGTGAACTTGAAATAACTTCGCCAGGAAGTAATCAGGCTGTTGGCTATTATACGATTGTAACGCAGTTCAAAATCAAATGAAATCTAAAAATTGCTAGTCACAAAAATTACTTTACAAATGTTGTCTCATTTACCAGAGAAAGATCATATCGAAAAATAGGAAATGCCTTCAAAACATCAAGATGTTGGGTACAATATCGAATTCTCTCATTTAGTGTTGTCTTAAATTTTTGTTTTATATCTTCAGTATTTCCTTCAACGACACAAGTCTTGAAGAAACTTGTATCAAATTCTACAGATGTGCTCCTACGTCTCTCTGTATTTGGTTCACCTAAACTTTTGTTAAAATTCGTGCGCCTTTTTCTATTTAAGTTTTTGAGGTTTGAATCCAGGTTCCTGAATTGTCCGCTGGATTGTAAAACAGGTCCTGTAAAAAAAAATTCAAAAATAGTGCTTTACTTAAAACAACACACTTACAATTCCGCCTACTTCGCTAGCGCTGCATTTGTAAACAGGAAAATTGGCGATACTTACTTTTGCAAGAGCAATTATTTGTTCCCGAGTTTACGGCTTCACGGACCAATATACGTCGTGGGGCATCACTTAGGGCCGGTTTCTCCATCTCCGGTTAACACTAACTCCCCGGTTAAACACTGTTATCGACGTTCTAACTCCATGCATATAACAGGGAGTGATAAGGTCGGTAACGATGTTTACCGGGGGATTAGTGTTAACCGGAGATAGAGAAACCGGCCCTTAGCGTTTTTGTGTGGTTATATTCCTGAAGTATATGAGAACCATCACCTTCTCTAATAAAGTCCAATAGCGCCTATTTAAACAATTCATTATTGCCAAACGGTTTTGCCATAAAAATTTGTTTATACTACCGCGCAGAATATGAAAATTTCCTAAGTGCAAATGTACAATTTGCAAACACACTAGGGGTATTCTCCAAATCTTGCAAAGCCATTGCACGTAGCACGGATTGCATGGATTGCATAACTTGCAAACACACAACAACAAAATACATTGGAAACAACATTTGCTTCGCTGCAAAATATGCAACGTCGAAACCCATGTATATATTTTGCAAAATAGCATAGCAAGATAAATGCGACCCTCTGCTAGTTGTTTTGTTGTTGGAATTGCTACATATTTTTCTCATTCCTCTCATCTCGCTCACTTCATTTTTTTTGTTGTCTCTTGTTCTTGTATTTGATACATAATTTCGATGCTTGCATCCCATGCATGCTATCACGCCACAAGCGATGCGTTTGTATGCAAATTCTGTGTAGTCCATATTCTGCACTTATGACAATCTTTTACACTTACTTCATTTCAAAGAAATTCAATACCCGAATTTGTTGCCTTGCCAATAGGAATGTTTTCTGTTAAAGCATATAAATATGTAAATAATTAATAAATTAGCGGTTCACCTTAGCTTACCCTTGTGAAAAATTTCTAGCAAAAAACAGGAGCAACTTCCAAATCGCTTAATTGTGTCTAATATTTGGTCTTGCTGTATTGCGACTTTATCACAGTCCATCAACTTTACAGTGCTATTGTATGAAACATCCAATTTTGAATAAACTGTGAAATAATAATGTTCTTTGACAAATCAATTATATAAATAGGCAATCATGTTTCCTTTACACCCCTTTTACGGCTAAACTATACTTCTAAGGAATAAACAATTATATATCATTAGAAAGGTATTTTGATGCTGATGTGCAGGCAATTTTTAAAATTTCAAATTAGGTTAACATAAAGCGAAAAACTCAATTAAAAAATGACATCAATACTAATATTGTACGTGTATAAGGTTGGAGCGGAAATGCCACCTAAATGTATGCTTTAATATTGATACTGAATTACAGAAACGTGCTAAGCAGCAGTTTAGGAATAAGATGTATGTATGTATGTACATGAATAGATTATACTCAAACAAGGAAGAAGGTAAAGT